AGGAACACGGAACAAGAATCGCCGTGTACCGAACAATCGATTCAGTGATAGGTTGTCGAATAGAGAGATTGTCCCACGTTGAGCACCTGACGACGGATCTGTAGCGTTGCTCCTAGACCATCAAGAGCACCTCATCATGAGAGCGGTTTTGCAACGTGTGAAGGGTGCAACGGTGCATGGTGAGTGGATTGCAGGTCTCAAGTCTTACACTCATGTTTGGGAAGAAGTTGATAGACTCATCTTGAACGTGCGTTGCCCATCAATGATGCGCTGCACAGTAAATGGCAATCTCGTCTCTTGCATAGGACCCGGTCTCGTAGCTCTCATTGGCATTGGCACAGGTGCGTGATCAGGCTTCGCGAGCACTACAGCCTCGGCTTGAGGAATGCGCACTCGAATGCATACGCTCTGTTCATTACAGACGATACGATGGCCGAGATTGAACCTCTTGCGAAGCGCCTCTTGTCAACAAAGCTGTGGAATGAAGGTCAAAAAGCTAGCGCCATTGATGTGCCTTGCCAGTACGCACCACCCGACAGCGCTGCAAAGTCTCGCACTTCTGCTGAGGGACAAGCAGGACAAAGCAGAAGCAAAAACGATGAAAAGTTGTCTGGAGGCGAAGGTTCAAGGGCAGAAGAAGTCTGGGGTGGGAGACCTTGGAGATCTAGCGTGCAAGACATCGAGGGCGAAATTCTGTGTGGTCAGTATTGTGCCCTGTGAAGCATCATGACTTCGGTGAAGCATGTGCCGTGCTCATCGTTGACACCACCTCTTTCAGTCTCTCAATTTACTCTGCACGCAAGTTTGTCCAAAGGGACGAAGCCCGACTTTCACAAGGTGAGCAACGTGCGGCTTAAGTCACAACGATGATGCACTGATAGAGCTAATCCCTCCCTTGCTGCACCTTGACGGGATCCCAAAGGCTATGGCAAGTAGATTTCAGACATTGAGCTTGACCTTTATTTTGGGTCATTTCTCCAAGGGCAGTATCTGATGCCTCTTTCTTTGCTTCGAATCAGGGAGGACAGCAAGCGCGAGAGATCTACGATGCCCTGCTTGAGCATCTGCGATCAGCATACAAGCCAGACCGGGTCAAAGATGGCGCTTTCGGCGAGATGATGGGTACGTTGTCGCTCTCCTCATCGTCTGCGTGCGTCAAAGTCGAGCAGTTGATGAACATCAGTCTGGCGCTGTGCACGTCATTGCCCCTCAGATGTCAGCTTGACCAATGACGGACCTGTGACCATCCTCGTCGACACGGCAGAAAAGAAGTGACATCATTCACAAATGTTTTGATAGAATACAATCACGTTTAAAAGTACAGGTGTCACAAAAGAACGAGAGAGTCAGCTATAGACCTTTCTAAGCATGTCTCTGAGCTCCAGGCGAGCTGCAAAAGCGGGGAGGATGTCAGGACAACGGCTACTGCCCATCGTCGCGACACGTCGAAGCGGTCCGCGGTACTCACAAGCACGTCTAGCATCAGATGGCTTAGCGAAATCCTCGAGCGCTGATCCGGGCGGATGTACAACGCGGGGCAGAATCAAGAACCTTTCTTGACTCGGATCAGGGAATTTGGAAGCTGAGGGACCGCATGTGACTACGAATAGCGCGTCGTTTGTCCACCTCAAGGAGCCGTCTTGCGATTCGGCTTGCGCTTGGACGTACAACTCAGCGCTGGCCGAGAATGTGCGTATGACCACAGCCTGCAAAGTCATGATTCTGACCGACCGGGAGACGCGTCAGTGATGCACAGAGAGAGAGAGAGAGAGAAGGGGGGAGAGAGCGACCAGAACTCTACGCTGCGCAACCAAAACTACTTACTCGCCCACTCTTACGGCCTCTCGAAACTCCAGTCCATCCACAGAGACTGTGCTCCAAGCATCCACGCCCAAGCTTCGAGCGGAGTTCAATGCGCAACTTTCCATCCAAGCCATTGTCTGTCCTCCAAATAGCCGATTTTGAGAATTGGTGTGTTCAGGGAAGACGAGGTGAAGAGACCTGCTAAGAGTTTCTGCCACCAAAATGGTCTTTGGCTGGCTTGAGACGAGCGCAAAACTCCCTTGCCTAGATCGAGACCCTCTTGCGCTCCTAAAGGAATCAAAATAATCGTCTGCAGTGGAGCTTGGAATCGCCTCGTCTTCGTGCGCTGCGTTGTTTGCTCTGGATACTGACAAGATGCTTTGAGGTTCATTAAACGTCCAGCCGGGATCTTTCCGTAACTCGGAAAGATTGATCTCGCTGCTACGCCTCAATCCGAGCTCTCTAGCAAGCGACTGCACGGCTTGCTTCGAGCGCTGCAATGGTGCATCACCTGATAAGGTTACCGTGACGGTGTCTCCATCCAGAGATACACCTGGATCTCGCGCTGCCCAGGCACGCGTGACGAGCTGAAAGAAGAGTGGGAAAGAGCGGCATGATTGTGAATGAATGCCGCAGAAAGCTGCTGCGTCTAGGCTCCCTCGACCTCGACTCACTTCCAATTCTATGCGGTCTGCGTGCTCTTCGCCTCCTTGGCTCAGCTCCGTACCTGTACCTTCTTCTCGAACTCCGAGCAACGCAGCGATCTCCTCTCTCATGCGTATCTTCACTTCTTCCCTGACACCATCTCTCGCGTCTCCCTTCTTGGTGTCCTCCAGTCGCTTATGCCTCCTTCGACCGGCCAGGAGATGTCTTCGTGCCTCTAGCGTAGTTCGAGGCTGTACGTTGGCCAGCACAGGTTTAGGGCCTCCCTGCACCGACGGCAAGGCGACAAATGTCAAATAGGAGTGACTGACGTACGCCTTGCGTCCTTTATGCTCGGAGATGACTCTGACTCCCACTTCCATGGAGGAGGACCAAGCTCTATTCACGGAAGCTGAGAGATGAACGAGCGAAGAGACGGGAATGGGAGCCAGGAGAACCACAGCGTCTACTGAGATGGTCACGCAGTTGCAGGATGCATGTCGACGGGCCGAGACGCCAGCTACGATGTCGATGAGCTTGAGCAAAGCGCCAGCTCGCACAAAGTATTGACCCGGAGCATCCGCTCGAGCATCGCACATGTCCAGTGTAGCTGCGTAGGAGACCTGCACAGCGGAATCTGAAGTCGGCTTGCTCTGCTTGACCTTGACTCCACCTTGATGCTCAGAGCTGTTGGAAGAGCGCAAAGTAGACGTGGAGCCGGTGAGAAACGAACCCAGAGATCCAGAGCGCCCGTGTGCGTTCAGAATGTTCAGGCCCGCACGTGCGAGGAACGCCATTCCTAGAGTGACGACAGCGAGGCTGTAGAGGCGATGCCCCACGGGCTGGTCCAAAGAGCTCATTGCTTTGCTGTCGAAGGATCAAGTCTCCCGTCGGCTTGAACCAATGTTGCGTGGTGATTGCGCTCCAGAGTTGACGTGTCGCAGCCACCATGCGGAGTAGCTTCGCTCGTGACTTTCGAGATGGTTGGAGGTGACGAGGTGCAGGAGGCAAAAGGCGAATGAGCAGCTATTGACTGAGTATATAGATAGGGTCTTCTGCCCCGACGCACCTCCGTGCCGAGATGGAACCCAATCGGGCCATGCAACACAGGCGCGCGCATGTGCGCTCCTGCCTCTTCTCCACTCACTCACTTCGCTTCGTGACTTTGGGGCCAGCGCGAGAGAAATGCGGCTCTGCACTTTCGTCACGACTCATGCAAAACAATCACAATCACAAGCAACGAACGCAGTGACATCGCCAAGACGACCTGCCCTGCATCCTAGACACAGACTCAGCCGGCCGCCCTATTGATGCCCAATTTCGCCATGGATTCTGAGGTCTAGCTAATCAATCGAGCCTCGAGGAGTCATCAAGGGGTAAGAGGGTGCAATTACAAGGGGGACCACCCGCCAAGCCACAGAGTTGAGCTTGGGCACAGAGGCACCTCGAGCGTAGACCGAAAGCAGCTTTATGACGCTTCGCTGTTAGTACCGTGGGAGCAACGGCTTCCGCTTAGTGATGCAGGAGCAGAAAGGGAGGCTGAAGACCGCCAGTGCGCTCTTGGCGTCGTTCAACTTTGCGGGCTTGGTAGAGATCTCGGATCATACATCTGGTAAGCACGCTCCGCATTGGTGTAGGACCTCAAAGTAAGCCCCACTCACCATCCCTGCATCTCGTCGCTCAGCTGGACGAGGCTTGATCTTGGCCGGGTCAGAGCCGAGCAAGGCGGACGAGCTACTTTTGCGCGTCCCCTCTACCTCGCTCCTCAATGTTCGCACGGCTAAGCGCTGGTTGCACACGTCATTACTACCTTCCAAACAACGCCCAAGCCATCCATACAACAACGCAACGATTGAAGAATCGACACAACCAGCTCCGTCGGGCTGCAAAGACATACAATCAGAGACCTTGAGTGGCATAGAGCAGGGAGGTGCGCATGTGCCTCTTCCTCTGAGCAGCCATCAAGCTCTCGCGCTACTGCTGGCAATCTGGAAATCTGCACAACGTCAGCCGGCTCAGAATGGCCCTCACGAGAAGTCTGGTGAAGGTCCGCTTCCATTGGCGAATACCTCGGTAGAAGTCGCCTCCCCAGCATTCTTGGACGCCTTCTTGGGCACAGCTCCAGCTTCCTACGATACTCACCCCTTGTCCTACTCGAGTGAGCCGTCTGCTGGACTTGTTCCAAGCATTCTGGCCAAGTGTCTACCGGCACACGCTTCAGAGCTTGTGCAAAGAGTCAGGAGTCGCTTTCATCGAGATTGGTCCGTGATCGAGGGCTTGCAAGTGCGTAAGGAAACATTGTTGGGAAGATGGGAACTATCGTCAAGCTCACGTTCCGATTACCGCTCCTGCTCATCGTCAGCGACGTCACCCTGAAATGTTGATTCCGCTTGAGGCAATCTCTGACACCGTTTCATCAACAAAGAAGGCATCGCTACCTCGGCAGTCCATCATAGTGACAAAGGAGGACTTCAAATGGGGCTGGTTGTGTGTCAACACGTAAGCACGGCGCCCGTTGTGAATGACGTAACGAGAGTCGAGCAGCAGACTTACCATCAGCTCTCAACCTCGCAGCCGCTGCCTACATCTACCTCAAGGTCTGACTCCTCATGCAGACAATCTGACGCTCGCTGTGAGAGCGGCAAAGATTCAATTGCAGAAGACGGACGTTGCTTCTGACGTACTGATTCCGCAAAATCCCAGCCAATTCTCGATTTGGCAAATCACAAGCCGAGCTCTTCTTCGGATCTCGATGCCTGCAACGTTAGACACACTCCGTCGAGCGGCTTGGAGCTACACGCTCCGTCTCGTCGGGGAGCTTTGCAGCCAGGGGACCAAGTCACATTCTGTTATGGAGCTCATGCAGCACAGGTGAGAGCGACTTATGCGCGCCTCATCGAAATGTTTGCATTGCTGATGCTTTGCACCGTCGATGTGCTGCAGATGCTTTTCGCGGAGTACGGCTTCGTACTGCCTCGCGAACGAAGTCCCTCCATGGAGTCAGGCCAAGTGCAACAATGGAACGGCTGTCCATTCGCTGAGGTCAGATTGGACGATGGAATCATTAGACTTTTCAAAGAGCAGGGAGACGAAGGTATAGCTAAAGAGAATTTATTACAAGCTAGAGGCTACTGGCTGTGAGTCAATGAGCGATTTTGATACGTGGTTGGCAACGCGTCGAGCAACGCTGAGGACTGCTGCTTGTCATACGCCTTCGCTTCGAGACAGAGACTACACCATTCACCCAGACCCGTTCCCACCTCACGCCTCGCATCGACTAATCTGCGCCCTTAGACTATTGCACGTACCCTTGAGCTCGACTTCTGTTCACGAACGTTCTAATCAGAACAACTTGGTACGCACCTATCCGATCACATCTGCCCCTTTCATCAACCGTTCTCCCGGGCGAACAAATGCAGAACTCCAGGGATGGGAAGCTACCCTGCTTGGGCTGCGCCATCACGTCAGCGACGAAAATGAAGATAAAGCACATGGCACACTGATGAAATTATGTCAAGACGTAATGGATGATCGGACCTCAAGACTCTCACTTCTACATAGCATGTTGCAGAACAGGCACTCTGAATCTCTTAGCGAGGCATCAGAACCCGTAAAACACGCATCAGCGCGGGACGCGGACAGCGTCATCGACATGGTTCGCACAATGCTGATCGATGACTTTGATATTGCACAGTCTGTACTGGCAATCACTCGAGCGGGCGGAATCGAATCGGAATGGTCATAGATTATACATCGAAGAATGTGCGAGACAGCACATGCGTGTCAGCGCTGACTAGCCGTTCTGGCGAGAGTCGGATGTGCGACAGCAGTGACACTAGGCGTCCTATCTCTGCCCCTTCTCGCATCTCTGACTTCAGCCCGAGATGCTCGCGTATACTCTTGATCGGCGTTAGATGCATGTTCTTCGCCACGCAGAGTAGAGGCGTCGCCGGATCCTGATCCGAGAGCAGCCATAGCAGCCCTCGAAGCTGGACCTGGAGCAGTTGCGGCTGAAATATCAGAGCTGGATACTTGTCGCAAATTGTGAGGTCGTGCATTGGTCGCTGAAGTCGAGCTTAAGCGTGGGTCAACGCTGCTGCTCGGACTGCCCCGACGAGAGAACGAGCTCGTCCTCGGTCGAAGAATGGGTATAGAGACCGGCCGGCTGGCTGGCGATTCATCTTGTCTGGTGTTTCTTGTGCTTCTGGTCGATTTCGGAGCAGGAGTAAATCCGGCCGAGTTATTGACCTCTTCCAAATCTTCCTCGGTAGTAGAGTCCAATTTTGGAGTGCCATGGGCGCTCCTTGATCCGTTCGGCGTGCCAAGAGAGGCCCCGACGCTTATCGATTCCATCGACGAACTTGCAGGGGGCTCCGGACCAGAGACGAAAGAGGACGCACTGGAAGAGCTTGCAACGCTAGATACGCTAGCGTTCGTCCCTGACCTAGTTCTCCTCCGATCACGAGCCGCGTTCGAGTTTGAACGAGAGTGAGTCTGATCTCTGGAGCCTCGACGTACTGTTTGTTGCGGTGAGTAGGTAGCTTGACTCTCTTCGGCTCCACCGTCGGGAGCAGACCGGTTCAGCGGCGTGCGTTCAGTGGGTACCGCATCGCTCAGAGCTGACCCTCGCCAGCGAAAGTGAAACAGGCGCCAGGTCCAGCTCTGCATGTTCCGCGAATTGATCTGTGTGCTTCTGCGCCTCTCATAAGCTGCCCGGTACCGCACGTAGCCTTCCTTGAAAGCGGTCGATACCCGAGGGAAGAAGAGAAGCTCGCCTCGCGGATTGGTGGGAGAGGGAGGATTGAAGACGAGTCCGGAGCCTGGTGTGGCCAGAGCGGGCGAGGAAACGCCTGCAGGGTTGGCATCGCCTGCGCTGAGAAGCGAGAAGAGGTGCACAGCGGGCGGGCTTCTGACATTCAGGTAGAGATTGAAGTAGCGCAGAGCCCGATTGGCTTGAGGTACAAAGCTGAGGATTGATGTACATACCTTAGATCAGCACTAGCTTCTGAGGGATAGCGACATCGTGGACTCACATATTTGCTGCACCGATGCGCTCGGAATACATCCCGCTCGCAAAAAACAGGAAGATCGTCGTTCCTCCGAGAAGCAGCGCGCCCAGTTGCAAGTAGTGTAAAAGTCCGTACTGCGGCGATCGCAACATGCCAATTGCTTCAGTGAGGAAGCGGTGCCTGTGTGATCAGCATTCCTTACTCACAGGCTTCACTGGCGGGGTCAGAACGAAGATGCGGTAGCTTAGAATGACAACGCCTACGATGAATGACGTCAAGAGTACTTGAGGAGGAGGAGGAGGAGGAGGAGGAGGAGCATTCGGAGTCTGGTTAGCTAACTAAAGGCACCCTT